AAAATACCCTATGGGGGTTTTTTTGTATTATTTTGTATTTCTTATAGCTGCACGCTAGAAATGTGCCCACCTGAGGGATTCTTCCCTGTCAGAACCCAGGACATTGCTCTGGCTGCCCTGGGTGATTCCAGACCCTGGCAGGGGGCTCACAGACCTTGTGACTTTGGAGTCACAAACACCTGTGCCTTTGATTTTAGCCCATGGAAACAATTACCAACCTTATGTGAGGAGTTACAAGCCACAAGGGTTTGAGTAGAATGATAGTGAATTTGTCACAGGGTGAAAAAGTAGAATTTTAGGGGTTTAGAATGGAGGTTCAAGAGGCAAGATGGAGGAAGCTGGGTTTGCCCTGTCCTTCTCCTTCTTGTCCTCCATCTTCTGCTGTGATGGTGACACTTCTGGATTGGTTTAGAGCAGAGACAGACTGTCTGACATAGGTGATATGTATTGGAAAATTATTGTAAATAAAGGACGGGTAGTTCTTAGTATAAAAAGCCAACACCATGTTCCAGGTTGGAAGGCAAGATGTATTCTATTACCATCTGTGTGGCAGTTGTCATTTGTCAACTGGGCAGTTTTCCTTATCTCTTCCACAATCACTCCTCCTTCACGAGGGGACACCTGCTGATAACAGCTATTGAATGTCACTGCATGGCTGATAAGAACTCCAGCATCCCATTGGGAGATGTGAGCCCAGAGGGAGGAGCCAAGCATTCCTACCCAGATATAATCCAGAGGTTTTTGAGACACCAGCACGGCTTCTGCACTGGATTCCCAGAGGAACAGCAGCTGCCTCTTCTCCCACTGGATCTTCAGAGGAAGAATCCATCCTTCTCTACAGGATCCCTGATCCAGCAGAACCACCCCTGGCACTGCAGCAGGGCTGAGCCACATTTCCAATGGGACTGCTGCCAACACCCACAGGGTGTCAGGTTGGGTTCTGACTCTGTCAGTGTTCTAGTTTACTGCACTGTTTATTTTATCCTTTTTTTTTCTTCCCTATTAAAGCACTGTTATTTCCTGCTCCCATATTTTTTGCCTAAGAACCCCTTAATTTAAAATTCATAGCAATTCAGAGGGGTGGGGAGGGTTTACATTCTCCATTTCAGGAGAGGCTCCTGCCTTCCTCAGCAGACACCTGGCTTTCCAAACCAAGACACACCACCCCAAGGGCAGGGACTGTGCCACAAACCCGACCTGCTGGACAGATCTCAGCAGGTCAGAGAGAGAATGTCATAGATAAGAGAAAATAAACAACCTTGAAAAGCAAAATCCACAAATCTCCACTTCTTCTTTGGTCATGGAGTTGAGAAAAAAAAGACTTTTAATACCTTGGGGGTCATCTCAACCACAGAAACCTGAGCCTTACCTGCAGGACATCCTGGATCTTCACCCACACGTCCACCATGTCATAGAGCTTGATGTCCCCGTCGTGCTGGCTGCAGGGGGAGGCCACAGTCTGCTGCAGGTGGCCCAGCACCACGGCGTGCGCGGCGGCCACCGCGTTGAACTTGTCAAAGAGCAGCTCCAGCAGCTCCAGCAGCAACCTGGCAAGCACAGAAACAGCTCTGCTCAGCTTCTGGAACCTTCCACAGGCTCGCAGCAGGGCAGGGGGACAGGGCACTGTGGGTTCATGTCCTGTTTTGTCACATGCTGAGGTCACCTCTCTGTGACATTGTAGTTTTGGGGTGCCCCCGTGGCAGGAAGGAATGATGAATCCGACTCCATGTTCTCAGAAGGTTAATTTTATTATTTTATTATACTATATTATATTAAAGAATACTAAATTAAATTATACTAAAGAATACAGAAAGGATACTTACAGAAGGCTAAAAGATAATAATGACAACTCCTGACTCTTTCCAGAGCCCTGACATAGCCTGACTGTGGTTGATCATTAATTAAAACAATTAACAAGAAACCAATGAAACAATCACCTGTTGGATAAACAATCTCCAGCCACATTCCAAAGCAGCAAAACACAGGAGAAGCAAACGAGATAATATTGTTTTCCTTTTTCTCTGAGGCTTCTCAGCTTCCCAGGAGAAGAAATCCTGGGCAAGGGGATTTTTCCAGAAAATATGAATGTGACAAGGACTCACTTCAGCTCAGGTTTGGTATCTAAACATTACTGAAGATTTTTCTCCTCATTCCTTTCCCAGCATTGCTCACTTTAAAAATGTCCTGTTTAGGGCTACAGAGAAGACAAAACCCTGTAATAACTCTAAAGCAATTAAACTGGACTAACACAATATTAGATCCATTGTGAGAGCCCAGGCAGGAAGGGAAACAACCTGCTCATCCCCCAGAAAAAAGTATGACAATAAAAACTAACTTACCCACAGAACCAGGATAAAAGGAATTCTTTTTGAGATAATTAAAGTAATATGGCAGGTTTCAAATCACAGAAAGCTAAAATATGAACCCTTATCACTTGCCATGATTTTACTCCTATTGTACTCCTATATAGCTGATATTGTTTTACTCCTATTTGTCAGAGCTATAACATCATCTAAATGCACTGCACTGTACCTGCTCCTATAGTTTCCTACTGCCCAATTATCATAATTAAAGCAACTTTGCAAAGTCCTGAACAGTTTGTGATGAGGCAGCACTGTGGTATTCACATTTTCTGGAAAAATCCCTTCACCCAGGATTCTTCTGCGAAGCTGAGAAGCTTCAGAGAAAAATGAAAACAATATTATCTCATTTGCTTCTCCTGTGTTTTACTCCTTTAGAACGTGGCTGAAGACTGTTTATCCAACAGGTGATTGTTTCATTGGTTTAACGTGAATTATTTTGACTCATTGGCCAATTGGGGCCAAGCTGTGTTGGGACTCTGGAAGGACTCACGAGTTTTCATTATTATCTTTTTAGACTTCTGTCTGTATCCTTTCTGTGTTCTTTAGTATAGTAAAGTTTAGCATTCTTTAATATAATATAATATCATAAAATAATAAATTAACCTTCTAAAAACATGGAGTCAAATTCATCATTCCTCCCTGCCACAGAGCACCCTGCAAATACAACACAGCACCATCACATTTTTTACTGGTGGAGAGCAGCAAAATCCTGCTGGAGCTCCCTGCCGTTTAATGAGCAACTCGAGTCCCCACATAACCCCACCAAAACGTGGAGATAACACTTCCCAAATCCATATGTTAGGCACTTGTAGCTCTGACAGACAGGCTCCATCTCATTTCCTGCAGCAGCTTTGGAGCCACCACATGCTCTGTCTGCCCAGCAGGAGCTGCGAGCCCAGGGCAGAGCAGGAGCTGCTGCCTCTCCTCCTGCAGCACCCCCAGTGCTCCCAGAACNAGCAGAGCTCTGTCGGGCCGAGAGAAAATCTTTTAGATAAACAATTAATAAACACCGAGACCGAGAAAAGAACTGAAGCCTCTTCTCGTCCTTTGATACGCGGGCTGCCCCAAGGCCACCCCGGGCCTTTCCAGGCCCTCCAAACAGCCGAAAACCAGACATTTGACCACAAAGCTTTGGCCCAGGAACAAGCTCCTCCTGTCCCCTTCCTTACTGGATTTGCTGGGAAATGTCCCAATGAAGGCAGGAATGATGAATCCGACTCCATGGTCTCAGAAGGATAATTTACTATTTTATTATACTATATTATATAAAGAATGCTGTACTAAACTATACTAAAGAATGCAGAAGGGATACAGACAGAAGGCTAAAAAGATAATAATGAAAACTTGTGACTCTTTCCAGAGTCCTGACACTGACTGGCCATTAATAAAAACAATCCACATGAAACCAATGGAACAATCACCTGTTGGATAAACAATCTCCAACCACATTCCAAAGCAGCCAAACACAGCAGAAGCAAATGAGATAATATTGTTTTCCTTTTTCTCTGAGGCTCCTCAGCTTCCCAGGAGAAAATCCTTGCCTTTCCTGAACCCACTCTGACTGGGCTGATCCTCTTGTCCTAACAAACCTCTTGTGAAGCAGAACATTTAAATGCCTCTCTTCAAAAGCCTTCTAAGACAACAGCTTGAAGGAATGATGATTTTGCCACATTCTCTAATAAAATTCCAGCCACTTTCACAAATTTTTCATCACCAAACCATTTTTCATCAGAAAATGCTCACGTCTGTGTTCAAGCAGGCAAAAGTTGAGATGTGGGTTAAACCCCTAATAGCTGAACCATGTCCAGAGTTACAGAATTTGCTGATCCCAGCTCTGATGATGCCCTAGAAAAACCTCTCTTCCCCCTGGGATTCATTTGCTCAGCGCTGCCATTTCCCAAGGAACCACCCTGCTGCAAGGAGCCCTTTAACAGCTCCTGTCTGATCCCTAAAAACCCAACTTTGGGAGCTCATTTAAGCAAAGCAGCTGAAAAAAAGGCCCTTGGGTCTTGTTTTTCATTCCAGTGAACAGCCAAAATTTGCTGCTCCTCATTATGAAGGTTTCATTATCCACGAGCTTTTATGGGACTCTTGTAAAATGTAATGTACTATTTTCCATGATTTATGTCCTTCTGGTGATATCCTCTGTACCTTCAATCCTCCCAGAGAAAAGCACACGAGTTCCTGGTGGCCCAAAAGCACAATTTCAGATTTGAAGGAACANTGGGAGTGAAGTGACAGCCAGGGACTGCTGCCCCTGAGAATTAGTGAAAATTCAGGTGTTTCAGGCTGTGCCTGGTCAGAGGGGTGGCCTGGACATAATTCCTGTATTTATTTCAAAGCCTGGAGATGAGGGCAAAACTCAAAATATAATATGGATGTGTAGGGAAAAGCACATGGAATCCAAGCATGGGGATTTAGGAGCAAAAGTGTCAATCTCCCATCTCTTCATGGACTGGGTTTGTAATGTTTCCCTAAAAGTCCTTTAAATCTGTCAGGTCATTTTGGAAAGGTGACCCAAAAGAGACCCAGGCAATGAGACAAAACCCATCAAATTGCATCAATAACTGTTGCAAATATATTTATTAATAAATATTGAAAATTGCATCAGATAGCCTGGCCTGGATGGGGCTGGAGCAGGGAGTGGCCTGAGCAGAACAGGGACAGGCAGTGACAGGAAAATTTGTCACAGCCACCTCATAACCCCGAGACGAGGGCAAAAGTCCCAATATAATATGGATGAGCAGGGAAAGGCACATGGAATCCAAGCATGAGGATTTAGGAGCAAAAATGTCAAAAAAGTGTCAAAAAAAAGTGTCAGTCTCCCATTTCTCCATGGACTGGATTTGTAACGTTTCCTTACCAAAATGTCCCATAAATCCGTCCCTCAAGTGGGGATCCATCCACATTGTTATTCTAAAGTGCAAACTCCTCCAAAACTCAGGAGAGCCCCCCAGGTTTGTGCAGCAGCACCCAAGGAAACTCAGCACAGCCTCTTCTGGGCCACTTTGTCCTCCACAACCCCAGATAAGGATTTCTAGATGTGATGCTGTGACTAATGAGCCGTTAATTAAGGATAAGGCAGTGGCAATTCCTATAGTTAAGCTTTTCTCCATAAACTTCTTTCAAGCACAGAGATGTAAAAATGTTAGAGAATTTCTCTAGACTTTAAAATTGTTCACTTAAAGCTGAGCTCAGCTAGAATTTTCCAAGTTTTCTTCCCCCAGGGACAAGGAGCTACCTGGAACCTGCCCCTGCCCTTCCTGGAGCTCTGAGGATCTGAGAGAGCACCCAGAGAGTCATCACAAACCAGAAAAATCTGGAGTTTAAAAATCTGGGAGCAATTAACAATATTTTTATACACAAATGTAAAAGATGGCAGCACAAAGCTACCTGGAAAAGCTTATTAAGGAAGGAAGGGAAAGAAAGTTAAATTTTCAAAGTAACAAGAATGAGATCAGCAGTGGCCGTTATCAGATCTGCAGCTTTTCTAGCCAGGTTCTACAAATCATTTCTGTCTTGTACAACCAGAGGGGCTCTAAATCATGGAGTCTCAAAAGGAATTACACCACAATTTCCCCAAGCAGGTCCTCAGCCTCATCCTTGGTCACAGAATGGTTTGGGTTGGAAGGGACTTCAGGGATCATCTGACAGCCTAAAGAACAGTTCAGCACTTCTGGGCACTGCACTGAGCTCAAATGTGGGGCTTTACAGAGCTCTGTTGAAGCAGCAGGGCCTTGTTGTTCTGATTTATTTCCCCCCTGACAGCAGCAAAGTCTCTGAGATTTGATTTAAAAAGTGCAGCTAATTTAAGGGGTGGAGACACCCTTCCATCCTGCAATTTATTCTTTTCAATATAAATGAATTCACCTGCTTGCTGTAAACTTCAGGTGTGATTTAGGTTTAGAACCAGTTCTAATTATGTCTGTACTCCACAAGAATTCAGGACACTTTCCATGAGCATCTTCAAGGCTCACACTCTGCAACAGCTGCCAAAAGCCATTAAACCTTTGTGTGCCTCACTCAACCCTCTGGGCAGGTTAATGGCATTGATATATGGCCTGATCCAATTTATCAATTCCAACAGACAACCAGGAGCCACACAACCTCTCCAGACTGGTTCATAAAACAAGGATCAAGAATATGTTCCACTTCTGGCATCAGAAACTCAAATTTGGCCTTCTGACCCATCTAAAAAAATCTTATTTTCACTGTATCAGCACTGTAGCTCTACAAAGTCTTCAAAACAGAATTGTTTTCACAGCAGTGCTAATGGGAGGAATTTAAAAAGGAGTTTTTATCAGCTGATGTTTTCCTTGGGAGTGATTTTCCACTACAAATATTGCACACAATGAAGATACACACTTTACTTTTCTGCCATTAATTCCCTTTGGACAATGATCACGACAATGTGGAGATGAATATTTCAGCTGGAAGAGATTCCTGCTGGAATCCTTGTGCTCCAAAGGCCACTTGCAGTGAATTCTGAGGAGCAGCACTATCACAGTGCCCAGCTGGCTCCCACACCTTGCTATTAATGTAAAACAATTAGAGACTTGGCCATACATTGGTGATGGAATTAGTTCCATACATGATTTCAAAGCTTTGCACCTGCTTCAGCTTAATTGGACTCTGCCACACTCGAAATCACCGAGCTGAATTTTCTCATTTCAAGCCATATTATCAATTAAGACTTTTTTAATTTTTTTTTTTTTTTTGCAGCAAGTGAGGGCTGGGAGTTGAAACCTCCTTACCTAGGCTGATTTTCCTGGGAAATGTTCTCCCCTCTCTGGTAGCCATTGTCAGCCACCTGGGTGGTGGAGCGCTTCACAATCTGCTTGAGCTCCTGCTCCAAGCGCTCCTGGATGGCTTTCACTGTTTCTGGGATCTTCTTCAGCTTGGCCAGCCCCTTGATGAGGATTCCCATGAAGACAGCGCTGTTCTCCTCTGGATCCAGCTCTGTGTCCTCTTTGATTTCCAGCAGGCTCGAGTCTCGCACTGCAAGAGATTTTAATTTTCATTTTAGCAAGAACCCTGAAGAAGCAGCACGGGAGCTCCTCTGGCTCCACAGAACTGCCAGCACGTGGAGGAACCAAAAATTTACAAAGAAACCAGAAACACTTGGATTTTAAGGGGAAGCAGTGGATGTTGCTGTTGGCTTGGGGGCTTCCCTGGACATAAA